AAATTCTAAAAGAAGAGTAAAAAGTGAAGATCACAGTGAACAATTGTGTTGGACTTGATGTCAAGTAAAAACCTGTATCTTTGAACTAGGTGTGCAGCCTACAAATCATCCTGAGACAAGTGGCTAGTATCCATTAACTATGATTGTTTTGGCTTTAACTATTATTTCACTTATAAAGCAATATTTTTTTTTTTGGCACCAGGGATTGAAAACAGGTGTTTAACTACTGAGCAACAACCTAGCACATTTATTTTTGTTTYATTTTGAAATAAGTTCTCCCTAAATTGTTTAGGCCTCGTTAAGTTGCTGAGGCCAACATTRAACTTTCCATCCCTCTGCTTAGCCTCTAGAGCTGCTGGTATTACAGACATGTACCACCATGCCCAGCTGATTAAACAATCTTAAGAGATTACTGTATTTATTGTTTATGGTAATTAAGTTAAATTAATTGATAAATTAATATGCTTCCTGTGTACAACTTCTGGAGAAAGAGGACAGAATGAATTTAGACCACTGAATATTCCTTTTCTGTAAAATTAGTATTAATAAAATATGTTGAAAGTTATCAATATTAGTCAACCCTGCCAAGCAAGACAAATAGCTTGTTCCTAATGAAGTGGGTGCTTTAAATTTATGGCCAAAAGAAATAGAGGATATCTCATATACTCAATATGGTTCCAATGTCACCTCCAACTTTCAGAATCAACATGTGCAAACCAAAAAGAAGTCAGTTATAATTTTAGGATTTTTAATAATTCACTTCAGTAATTGCAAAATCAGATTGTAAGAATGAGGAGAAATTCCTGATGATAATTATTAAAGGTGCTGAAATAATGAAACCTYCTAACGATCAGAATCACAGCATCATAAGAGGAACTACAGAAGGGTAAAGTGAGGGTAGATAACTATCAACTATGATACATCTCAAAAGGGTACAAAACAAGATTTTGAATATTTTAATCATAATAAAGTACATTTTTGGAGAGTTAGATATGTTTAACTTGGCTTACACATATACAAGGGAAACACATATGAAAATATCATGATGCCCAATTAAACTATCTTTTTTTATTGTGATGCTTTCAATTGAATCTGGGACCTCATGCATACTAGGCAAGCACTCTACCACTGAGACAAATCCCTAGCATAATAACCAATTAAGATACATAAGTTTTTGTTCTCATCTACCAGTTAGAATGAATGTAATTAGTAGTAATTTAAAAAATCACCAGAATTAGAAAACACCAAAAGTCAGACACAAAACTTTGTAGTTGCAATATTAAGTTAGGGGAATAATCTGACACCAGGTTATTCAAATGGAAATAAGACTTATTTCTTGCAAGATATAAATGAAGCCAGATATGGAACAAAAAAAGAAAACTTAACAGCTTTGCCCAGCCTTGATCTTCCAAGTAAAATTTTGGATGACACCTATTGATGAAACACTTCTTCAGTTCYTTTACACAATCCTGCATCCTTTTTATGGCCTCAAATTTTTAAACAATAGATATAACTGTGCCAGGATGACATAAAAAATATGGCTCAGAATGTAAGACTAAGTATTAAATCATGTATTAGCCAGAGAAAGTAATTATTGACTACTGTCTAAAATTAATACATGGGACCAACATTACTCAATACTTTGCACATGTTGGAGATAAAGAGTCCACTGTATCCAGGTGGGGGAAGAGTAGGCAGTAGCTGACTCCATAGGTACCTGTGCTTCCATACAAGAATGGTCTCCAAATTCTCTGCTCAACCTAGTTCCCATTGAGATACACTGAAAAGCATAAGCCATTCTAAAACCTCATCTTTTCACAGCTTTACACTTTCAACGCATCCTTGCACCTTTTATCTTAGCTAAACTTTCAGCGAAAAGAGATAAGTAATATTCCAAGAGTATTAAAAAAATKATGTGTTACATGAGGTCAGTGTATTAAGAGGTTCTCGGCTACTCAGRAGTGAATCCTGAGCTGCAGCATAAGTCTCTTGATGCCAACATACTTGCTTTGTGGCAAAGGGGATGCAGCTCAAAGGTGAAGAACTTGCATAGCACACGAGGCCTTGGGTTCTATCCTCAGCACAAAAATAAAATAAAATATTTGTTCTTTGTCAACATCACATTGCTTATTTCTGCATTTCTTTRGCACCAATGTCCCATATACAGGCTCTTCCCGGGAAAGAAGAGTCTGATATTTGAACTTCAACAATAGCATCTCCAGAAATTAAAAAAAAAAAAAAAGACATAAATTTTGTTTCTCTTACTCCCAAAACAGGAAGTATCCCTGAGAATATAAATCTAACAAAAATTAGAATACCTAAAATGCCCTAGCCATACTAATAAAGTAATAATGGATGAAAAATCACTAGTATTAAAATTATCAAAGTTCTTTGTTTAATGATTTTTTGTGCTCTACGAGTACTGTGYTGTTTTCCTTATATTATTCTATTCAAATCCTATAGAATAGGCAGTATTATTCTCTCCTTTTACAGAGTGGAATGCAAGGTACAAAAGATTATCTCGTGGAGAATCACAAAGTTAGACCAATATGAAGTCTAAACTAGAACTCAGCCATTTAAATCTCACATACTTAACATTTGTGAACATTTAGAACTACTATCAATAATAGATTGAGTATTAATCCATAAAACATTTGATGGTGTAATTTTCAGAGTTTCATTAATAGCTCATAATACACTTGATTACATTAAAAAGTTATTTTCTGGTAAGAAACTATGATTATGATTGCTAAAAATTGCCTTTCTTATGCATGATTAGCAAAATATAATTTGTTTTACATTCATCTCCTCATAATTCTGACAAMTATATTTCCTGATTCTCTGCGATATTCTCCCTCATGCTGTTGAGATTTTGCAGCTAAAGTTTGAGTTCAAAGAGAATTACTCCAGGTTTTACATTTCTAAGAGTTTCTGAATATAACCAAGATTTACTGATATATATCAGGTGGATAAAACGTCCATATTAATAATACTATTTGCTCTTGCTCATGTTTATCCTAAAGATGTTCAAATCTCTTAACAATAAAATGGACGTAACACTTATTTCACATACTTTCCTAGCTACTCAGTGATTCTGCAAATTTTGGCCAAAGGACGATTAAGGAAATGAACAGCATAATTAATTTTTCTTAATGTGATAAAGTTAAACAGAACTCTTTATATCTTTTCCTTACCTTTTGACACTGCTTGACTGTTATTTTATTCCTTTGCTCATCCCTTTTCTATGCCTAAATTTATTTTTTAAAAAGGAAAAATACATGTAACTCCTTCTTAGAGAAGACACTCACTTCTAATGTCCTAAGGTAACCAGGGAGCACAGTTAGAATAGACTTAGAGACCACACATTACATATGTTTGAAAACCTAAAATTACTCTGCATTCAGCAATGAGGAAGTTTCTCTCCTCTTTCTTTCTTTCTCTATCTCTTTCCTTTTTTTCCTTTTTCTGAAAGTTAAATACTCCAATTTAAAATGTCAGGATAGAGTACCTTTCAAAATATAAAATTTATCACTGCAGTGTASCTGCAATTGGGTTCACAGTTATCTGCAGTTATAGTCTTAGGAAGAGACTCCAGAGTAAGCATCCTAACTTATTTAAATAGAATATACTTCTTGTTCTTTTGACTCTGGGGACTGTGTCCCATAGGTTTCCTGATTGCAGTCTACTCACTTTTCCCCTCTGAAATTAAGAAAATYACAAGTCTCTTTCATATTTCTGTCCTTTGCCCTTGGGATACATGAGCCCAGAGAAGAATGAATTTCTAGTCCCATATTCCTAACCACCATTATGCAACCTTCTTCTGGCTCCCCTGATAAGCTTCTTTGGGAAAAATTAAGAGTCCTCAAAATTGAAGTTTCACTCTACTGCTGGGCCTCCTTTCTATAAGGAGGTCTGGAAAATGGCTATGGAGCTGAGTGGAGGATACACCCTACAGAGGAAGAGAGAACAGGCCTATTTGGGGCTTGGAATCCTAGGTCTGTGGAATCAAGCTTGTGAAACTTTGTATATTTCACTAAATCTTTCTGTGCCTACGCTTTATCATTTCTAATGACTCAGGTGACTCTCTMTATATAATATATATAATCCATGATTTTCCCTTTCCCTAACACAGTGTTGCCCACTCTCCAGAATAAGAAGTAGTTATCAGTCTCCATAGTCAAGATTAAGATGCACAAGAAGCTCTATCCTCCAAATACATCTTCTATATAAGGGGCTCAGTATCTGACTCAAATTGATCAGTATCTAATAATGATTTACATTGTTTAGGCTACTTTGAAAAGATTGATTAGTGTGTCTCAGTATTACTCCATTAATACATTTTGCACTAAATGAAGGACTCAAATACTCACATGATGACTGTTTATCATTAGTAATTCAGAGGAGAAATGTTTGCATGATTTTGGTTAAATCTAAGTTTCCAGCAATTGTTTATTTGTTTTAATGTTGCCTGTATGGAATGTACAATAAGCTCTATCAATGCTGAGCATGAAACATAACTGGCAAAAAATGAAGAATTACTAAAAACCAAATAATTTCTATCAAAGATTAGTTGTTTTTTTGGAAACAAACTGTGATAAATCATATGAGATTAAAGTTTGTCTAATTGGAGTACGGGTCGGGGTTAGAAGTCAGATCACATAACACTAAGAAGTGAGTGAAAATGATCCAGGATATTGGAAGCTTGGTAACATCCAACTGGTGAAATGGAGCTGTGGACTACAAGGGAGAAATTGGGTCAAAGATGGGACGAACGGTGGCACCCAGTTAGTTCCAGGCCATGAAGCAGGATATCCAAAAGAGCCTTGCAGTAAGAAGACAGTCCATTTCTGTCTTAGCTTGAGTGTTACCAAAGAGGCACCAGATGATGCTTTGTCTCTCTGAAATGGGATGGGAGCCACTCAAAAGTTAGCATGAAATGTGATCTTTATGGAACTTAGGAAGGATTCACACTGGATACAGGATTTTGCAAGTAATGGATCTATAAGTGTAGATTACTGACTGTTACATTGCAATAAATTTTTATTAAGAACCATGAGATCCTCTCTCTTTTTTCTCCCCCTTCCCATTCTCTCCCTCCCTCTCCCCTGTTATTTTGAATTGCTTTCACATATCAAAAAGAATAATGGAAGAACTGTAGAATGAATCTGACCAAGATTTCCTGTGTCCATATATGGATATACCATGTACATCCTCAAGATACTAACTAAAAAAAAGAGAGAGAAATCTAAAAATAAATATCAGGAAGATCAGTGGATTGTAGGGAAGGGACCAGGGGATGGGGAAGAGGAGAAGAGGAGGGACAGGAGAAATCCTGAGGGTTGAATTGGAGAATTATATTCCATCCCTTTATAATTATGTCAAAATGAATCCCAATGTTATGTATAATTAAATGAATAAATGAAACTAAAGGTAAAACCATGGGAAACTTAAACACAGTGACCAAGCAATAAGAACTTACTCAGCAACTAATACAGATAACGCTGACTAATAAAGATGTGATCTTCACTCTGGAGGAGCTTAGGCATTAATATGAAACATTAATGAAGATGAAAACTCATTCATCCATCCCTCCTACTGGTCATTAGTAGGAAAGACCAGAGCTAACTGATAATAACAACTAAAATTTACTATACACGTGCTCTTTGCTGAGTGCCCTTCTAAACACATGCATTTGTCACCCCCACCCTCGGTAAGCCAAGCAGCTCTCAGAGAAGCAACTTGTTCAAATAGTTGGTTCAGTTTAGAGCTGGGATTCAGACACAATTTATCCTTACTCCAGAATGTGCACTGCTAAATATATCCATTGCTGCAGCTCCAAAATACCAAAAAAAGGATACTAAATATACTTTCTCTGTTAGATATGAGTAACATGTGAACTACAATCACTAACAACTTCAGTTTCCTGTGGGTACAACTTGGTAACTCTGGAGCAGCACTTGCTAGAGTCTGGATAAAGCTGGTTGCTGAGAGAAAGAATCAAGGTTGTTAGTAGAAAGAAGTAGAGTGGCTCAAGTGACACTTAGTGGGCTACATCTCCTTTTGGTTGAGAGGAGTTATTTGATATCAGGCACCTAGTACTTAAATCAGGTCTCAGTGGAGAAAGTGCTTATCCTGCAGGAATATTATGGAAATTTATGATTCTCATAGTGATGGGTGAATACTAGAGAACCTCGTGGATGAGAATCCAGGATTCCCAAGGCCTTCAAGGTGTGGAACAGTTGTTAACAACAAAAACTCATGCCCCATGGGATTGTCAAATATCCCACTAATTACTTATGTACTTAATAGGATTATATAACCTTGAAGCTACCTCCATTTTTTACATGTAAAAATATTCTTAATGTTAAAGTGAAGTATTACTATTTTTTTTTACAAAACAAACTTGTCATGAGTGGATTTATTAAGTAACTCAAGATGAAAAATGGCTTAGAGCTTTCATCATTTTAGAAATTTATATTCTACACTAGAATGTTGCCAGACCCTTCAGGTGCTTATAGGATAAAATTCATGAACCGGAACTTTTAGCAGTTATTGTTGGCATAACTATAGCCATATTCGTTTTCCCTACCCCTAATTTATGAATATTGTTCTTATTCTCAAGAGTTATAGCATTGCTGGTCTCTGTTTCCTCCTTGAGAGATAAAAAGTTGTTCTTCTCTTTTCTCAAGAAATAGAAACTTGCTTTCCCCCCAATCAGGTGATGCTTGCTATGCCAGTAGCAAGGGCTAAACCTACCCCTAATGAATGGCCATGATTCTGACCTATAAAAGGTAATACTCAAGCGAGAATTGCTGCTGCTCTCCCTGGACTGCTTCTGCTCTCTCTCTCTCTCTCTCTCTCTCTCTCTCTCTCTCTCTCTCTCTCTCTGTGCACAGACAACCTGACAGACTTCTGCCAATAAATCTGCTTTCCACCTCTATCCTTGGGAGCCTGTGTGATCAGTCCTGTGCCAGTTTTCTTTCAGTTACACTTACTCAAATTTTACTCATACATGTTCAGTCATTTTGTAGTTGGGCCTGATCAGTTACTCATTAAAGTCAGCATTATTTTTATTGAAATATGAAATGAAAGAAGCTCTTCAATCTGTTTAGGCTTGAGATGAAAAAAAAAATTTTGCCAAAGGAAATACCCAGGTTGTTTCATGTAGAAAAGGAAAGGAAGGGAAAATTAAAACTAACTGAGAGTGATCAAAGACACTTGAATATATTCATAGTGACAGACATGTAGAACTCAGAAGGAGTGTTTTTAATGTATCCTTTACTTTTTTCATAAAAGAAGTTCATGGTTTTCTGTATAATAGAAACAGATATCAGGAAAATGTCTGTTAAAGTAAATATAGTAACATGAGAAACAAAACCAGTACAATTTCTAGTATATTCTAATAAATGCTTAATTTGAATGATTACTCAATAAAAGATTGTGAAATCGTATACATAAATTAATCTTGTACAAATTACTAGAAATCCATAAATTTACCTATTGGAAAGGAACATAATATTCTAAGCCCTTTTTATTGGTTATCCATGACTCTTCATAAAGGGAATATTTTTTTCACAAACAAAAGTGGAAAATGTTATCAATTTTCTTGGAAGTTTCTCAGTTCATGCATTTGGGGTTTTAAAGCAGTTTATCATAGGGGATTCCTGATTGGTTCTCCTTTATTTAATTGATAAAAGACCAGGCCAACTTCTCCTGGCACAGTAGATATATCTGCAATTTAAACATCTCGTAAACCTGACTTTCTCTGACTCTAAAATCATACATCTCTTCCAGATTGATAGTTTCATTGTCCTCAATTTCTGTTATGTTTGAATTGTGTTGCCAGAAGATAGCATTAAAAGATATATGGAATTCTGTCCATCTCATCCAATAAAATGACTGCTTCAATGGGAAGGTTAACTAGCAGGAAGCAGAGAGTAGTATTCACTGTTCCCTAAGCTACTATTTCTTCAATAAGATTTGTATTCTTACTTTTCTTTCTCAACTACACAAAAACTAGTATTTATATTACACATACACATTATATATGAAACCTGTACATATTTTTTTTTTGTCTTTTGCTAGCCATATAGGCTTGGTGCTCTTGCATTTGCAAATCTCCTAACAGCATCTCCTTTTTCTGAATCTCAGTTGTGTGATTCATGTTGCAGATTTGAAAAATCATCCTCTCCACAGAGCATAATCAGGTGAAAATCCATGCAAATTGGAGAACATTTAAAATTGCATGAGAAGTTAAAATAACAAACTCTGAAAATTTAGTGGGCCCCCTTAAAAATATAGAGATATAAAACCTTTAAGTTATGCTTAAACCGTTTTTATGTGTTTTGTTATTCTAAAATGATTTTCCCTCTTAAGAAAATGAAGGCAAAGATTATATTTTCTTCCAAATATTGAAGCATCAGAGGAAAAAAGTAAAGAAAGGTTGGGGGGTAAAATCATGAAAATCAGGGTGAGAATAGTAGAGTAGAAGAATTGGACCCAGGCGATCAAGGTGAGGAGAAAAAGGGGAAAGTACGGAAGCAATGATATTAAGCAGATTGCATTTTTATGTTGTGTGTATGTATAGTATGTAACCATAAACCACACCATTGCATACACGCATAAAGCAGCAACAAAAACTTGGAAAAAAAAAGAAGTGTCACTTCTATACATTTTAGTTTTCTTAATTTTACCCTTTTTAGAAAAATACCATACTTCCCTAGACATGTTTTATATTCTTGACCTGTTCAAGGTCTGAATGAAATAAAATATAGAAAGTGAGTAACTTTGGGTTTGTGTTGTGTAAGCAGTTACAATTTTAAGATCTCTCTTATCAAAGTTGAGGATAAGGATAGAATGAAAGAAATTCAGAATTCTAGATGTTTCATAGACACAGTTAGGTACATCATACTGGGTCTGTGTGTGTGTGTGTGTGTGTGTGTGTGTGTGTGTGTGTGTGTGCATGCTGGGAATTGAACCCAGTGCCTTGTGCGTGTGAGGCAAACATTCTACCAACTGAGCTATATCCCCAGCCCTGGGTCTAGGTTTTATTTGTTCCCCACTCCAGGGAGTGATTCACTTTGTCTCACGAGGATCAATCAATGTTCTAGACTGACTCTTCACTTAAATTCTGTGACATCAGTAAGAATGAAGCAAGTGAAATAGTATGTAAGAATTTTCATCCACAACAGCAATGAGCAGCATGGAAGCAATGAACAAGAGAGGGTAGAAGTGGAGGTTTTCCATGGTGAAGACAGAGTCCTGAGAGTCTGCACCATTTCAAAGGTAAGTAGCAGAAGAAATGGTTGTTGCAGAGAAGAAGGCTGTAATTTATGATCCCATAGAAGAGCTTGAAAAAGGTTTCCATAGTGGGCTGAAGTAGGGATAATGGGTGGGTGATTTATAATTCTGTCACAGCAAAGGAACAACAGAATATACTCTTTCTCTGAGTCAATTTTTACTGAGAGAAGGAGAAATAAGCTTTCATTTCTCCATGCTGTTCTCACTACATTTCCTCCATCAAGGAAAAATCACTCTTATGTAGAAGAATTCAGTCAGAGTAAACTAAATGGACACAGTAGAGTAGATTAATTGGACCCAAGGGGATAGAGGTAAGGAAGAAAAGGGGAAATACTGGGCAATGATATTAACCAGATTGTATTTTCATATTGTGGGCATGTGTGAGTATGTAACCACAAACCTCACCATTGCATACAAGCATAAAGTAACAACAAAAGCTTGAAAGAAAAAAAAAGGTGTCACCTCTATAAAATCCTTAGTCCCCCTTTCTAAATTTTCCAGAAGCATCTTCTAGATCCTGTTTATTGATGTGATTTCTCTGGGCATCTTTGAGTTCCCTCCTTAGATGTATAGTCTGGAGCCATCTCAGGGTTCCCATCGATTGATGAATGGATTAAGAACAAGTGGAATATATGTTCAGCCATGAAGAAAAACAAAATAATGGAATTTGCTGGTAAATGGTGACAATGGAGAATATCATGCTAAGTGAAATACTCAGAAAGTCAAGGTAAAACTGTTTTCTCTACTATGCAGAAGGTAGAACAAAGTAAAGGGAGAAAGAGGAGTGGGTGGATGCCATTGAAACAGAGGGAAGATCAGTGGGTAAAAGCAAGAGATGGAGGAGGGAGAGACAGGTAAAGGAAATAAATGTGAAATAAAATTGATAAGTTTATGCTGTGTACTTGTATAAATAACCACAGTGAATTGTACCTTTATGTATATTTTCAAAGCAGTAATAAATAATTATTAAACAGAAGGAAGACCAGTGGAGCAGAGGAAGTGGAGTAGGCACAGGGAGGAGAGTGGGGAAAGAGGAAGTTCTAGAGAATGAAATGGAGCCAAATATATTCTATGCATGTAGGACGATGTCAAATTCAACCTCCATATTACGTATAAATATAATGCACTGATGAAAACATTGAAAAATAAATAAAACAAATATATTGAATTAACTTAAAAGAGAATAACAGACTCAGTTTTCTGCATCATAAAACGATGATTTTTAATCCATTGTATAGGCTGATAACAATGACGTGGATGTAATCTGTTGGTAAAGCCATTGCTTATGAATGATATTATGAAATAAAGCTTTGTGCCAGTGAGAATTTTCATCAGCACTTCTTTGGTGTCCTTATGTCTTACACTATGCACTAAAAGGTTCCACACTGGAACCCTCACAGCACTGAACACATCACCACTTCACTCTGTTCTAGATCACAGCTAGAGGTTGGTCAGAAGTAAATGCATAGAAATGAACCATAGCACAAGGTAACGGTTGGCAGGAGAGACCCACTTGTGGAGAAAGGCTTGAGGTGCCCTCGGTGGAGCAGATATGCAAGGTGACTGTGGTGATGAAGAAGTAGGAATGGTGGAATAGGGGCAGATCCCAGAAGAAATCTGTGATAGTGCTGCCACACAAGCTCAGAGTGAATGTCCCAATGGTGATGATCCTTGGGTTTACACAAATACCAAGATACCCTGGGACCTAGGGTCATAACCTGGGAATAGAGTAAGGGGTTGGAGATGGCCAGTTAGTGGTCATAAGCCATGGAGGTCAACAGGTAACGTTGTAGGCCAATCCAGCCGAGAAGAACTGAGCCAGGCAGCCAACAAAGGAGATGCTTTTGTCTTCAGAGATGCAGGTCATCAGGATTCAGGAAGCAGATATAGAGGAATACAGTTCTCCTGTGATAAATTACCCTGGTGTGCAGAACCAAGAATGAGCACAGATCAGAGAAATCAGGGTGATGTTCCCTGAGACATTGATGGCATGAATGATAAGATAAACAACTTCATATTGCAGAATCAAGTTGTCTAAAGTCTATAATATGTTATTTTCCTCTTCCATACTCTTAGATTTTTTTAAAAAAATTCTTTCCTGTTTATGGGAAGTCTTGGAGAAAGAAAGAAAAATATATAATATGGTTTGATTTCAGAGGTTTGATTATGAATTTTGATAAGCAAATTTTATTTGATGAGGAAATGATGAGAGATGGTTATAGATTGCTAGAAATTTGCTCAGATATAAAACAGTGTATTATTGATAAGGTGCCCCTTAAAATTCATTCACGAAGCCCTGGGTCTACATGATAATTTATAAATTTTGAGCCATCTATATTACAATAATAATAGGTGAAGTGATTATGTTGTTAAGTTTAAAAAAACATATTTTAAAATATGACAGGTATGTTTTTAGGACCTTGAATCCTCCTTGAGGATTTTCTTTCACAGAGTGAGATACACCCCATAGTTTTCTCATTCAGGTTAATCAACATGAATCACCATAGGGGGAAAAGCCACATGGAACAAATTGAGGCAAACAATCCCAAACCCCATGATATTCTATACGAAAGGATTGCTTGGTTTCATGAGAACTTGGAAAGAAACTTAGAGCTCAATATTAGCACATGGCAGGTTTATTGATATGCTCTACAGCACTTTTTAAAACATAGCAATTGAAAAATTACAAATGACACTTTAAAAATGAGAACATTTCTACTTATACATTGAAAATCATAGCTACTTATACTTTGAAAATTTCTCTATATGGTAGAGAAATTTACTTAAGTTAAAAATTTGGAGCAAATTATTGCATTTGCTTCACCTTTTGAATTAGCTTGGACATTTCTGTTTCTTTTACCTGAATTTATTTATTAACACATCACTGCCCTGTCTCTTCTCTTCAAAATAACTTAATCATTTCTAATGTATGAGAAAAATGATTGGTGATATTATCACCACAGAAATTCCAGGTACATGTCTTGCTGGCTAATATTACAGCATTGACAAATCCACAAGTACAGGAATATAGAACCAAACAGAGGCACAATATCCTTGACATGACCTGGGCATAAAGCAAGTGGTGAAATGGCCATCTGGTGGTCATAAGCCAGGAGAGCCAGCAGATAGCACTCACTGCAAATCAGGCCATCAGAGAAGAAGTTATTTGGACAGCCAGTAGAGGACACATTTTTGTCTTCAGAGACGCAAGTCACTGCAATGTTTGAGGTATAGACAGAAGACAACCAGAGAACAAGGAAAGACAAATTTCCAGTGAAAAAAAATATGTGGACCTGTGAAGCAAGTGTCAATCCAGGTCAAGACTATGACGGGGGCATTTCCTACCAAGACACAGGGTGCACTCCAAAGAATATGACAAAGAGGACCAGGGGCATCACAGAGTTTCCTGTGAAGCCCAGCAAGATGAACTCAGTCACAATGTGATTGCCCTCTCCATGGCTTAGAGAGCTTTTACCAGGAATAGAGAAGATTTAATTGCCACAACCAACACCAAATGAGGGCATTGTCTGTGCTAAGCCCCTGAGATGTGATCAACACTAAGCAGGAATCTTACTTCCATTTTTCAGGTGATAGAAATTTTCTTAATCTCAATGTATTTATTTCAATCAAATACAATTAGTAATAAGGAACTTATGCTACAAGGGAGTTTATTCATGTCTAATTAAGTATTTCCAGAACCCAGTGTGCTCCTTTAAGGCATAAAAATTTAGAAGTAAGGCTAAGGGAATGATCCTGAAACTACAAAGACATTATTCAAGAAGTGAGAAATATATTTTAAAAATACAGTTAGATGTTTAGTTAATTTAAAAATCTATCAACAATAAAACTGATGTTGAGGTCAGATTTGAAAAGGAGATAATTAAATTTAGACACAGAGAATAAAAAACTTTTTCCATTTATTTCCAAGGTAAGAAAGGCCAAGTTGTTCATAACCCAGGAGAAAAGCTAAAGTCCCCATGGGTTAGAAGGTGATGCCATTTCTTCTTCCATAATCACAGGAGGTAGCCCCTCAGGTATTCGTCGGGGGATATATATCATAATGTCAGGAAGAGAAGCAAAGTGTGAATCACGAGCAAATCTAAGTGGAGAGAATCAAAATAATCCATAGGTTCAACCCAAGAAGAGCAAAAATGGGGTCCACATTGCCAGAGTATTCACAGTATTGACCTTCCAAACTATTCTTTTTGTCCTTGGTACAAATACATGTGAATTGATTTCACAGGAATTATTCATAGTATATAAAATACTTTCATATAGTGTATATAACGTTTATAATGACAAAATTAAATTGCAAGGCACATAGAATGTATAATTATATATGTATAAATACAGAATAGACATAGTAGACATTATACATAGTAGACAGTATATGTCTATTCTGTATTATATAACATATAATTTTAAAAGCCTACTTCAATGCACAAATATCTATCAAGATTCTGGATAGGGGACTTGCATTGCAGCTCACTTCTAGAGCTCTTGACTTGTGGGGCCCTGGGTTTGATCCACAGCACTGAAAACAAAACAAAACAAAACAAAACTATCTGCATGTAAGGGATAGAGAGGGTAGGACTATTTTTTTTTTTTTTTTTTTTAGATAGAAGTGTCCCAGTGCATGCAGGATGTTTTCATCCTGTTTTACTATATATTAAATAGGAAGTAATCTAGGACCTTTGTGACAATAAAAACACAATCACACAGGTAAAAAGTGATACCAACTCTTTAAGTTTTTTGCCTGTTTTAAGAAACTGTATCCCATGGTCTGCATTTTAATTTGTGACTCTTCCTAGGATTTTTTAGGAATACTGTAAAGAAATAGAAAGCAAGTGGAGAATAGTCCCACTGGCCATACTACGTGGAGGGATAAACTAGTCCATCCAGCTTTCTATGGCTCCACTGGACATGGGATCAAACCGAGGTATAACCCATCAAGACACAAATGCAAAGAGGACAAGAGGGTATGTCCATTTTGCTTAGTCCTATATCCACTGCTAAGGACAGTCCCTGATGTATAAAAAACACACATGAAGTTTTGCTAATACATGAATAAATGGGCTGCCTTGGACCAGAAAAGAAAGAAGACGACATCACTGATTTTTTAGATGGTATTTTAACTTCAAACCACCACAGTACTTCATTTGTATCCCATGTACAAATGGATACTTCCTGACACAAGTAACCATTGGCCATTTGTGTTCTTTGCAGACATGTACACAAAACAGCTTAGAAACCAGTGCACAAAATATCCTGACCAAGCAGTTGTTTCCAGAATGTTCTGTGTCTACCAAGATTTTTACCATAGATTGTCCTTATTGGTTAGGAAACAGGACTGACTTCTTCTCAAACCATAAACAGCCAAAAAAAWTTTGACTTTTAGGCAATTAACAAAGATGGAAGTTTTCTCTCAGTGCTCAACAGTGTCAAGCCTCCACTTGCTCTTATATAAAATGAAGATGATTTCTTTCTCTTTGGAATTACTGTGGAGGAGTTAACTTAAGAAGTTAACTTAAGGGCCAACATGAAGAATGAATTAGCAAGTGGTTATCAAGTTCTTTGCATGTAAGAATCACTTGGTTCTACTCCAGGGTTTCAATCTTAGCAGGTTATGGTTGCGGATCAGGAAGCTGTTCTCCTTAAGGCAGCCCAGGTAGTTGTAAGGCAGGTTATAGATCATGCCTGCAAAATACTAAAATATGTATCTGTTTTATTGGTAGCATTATTTTGTATTGTAAGAGGATTGTCTGCATTCCAATGTTGTGAAAATAAAGGGTTCAACAAGTGTAAAGCTGTGCTTCAAAACATTACACAGTTTAAAGCRGGACCTACAAATGGAACTACATGTCAATTTGGTTCCTAAAATGGTTACAATTGCACCCCAGGGTAACATTTAAATTTCTCTAATCTCATTTTACTTATGCATTCAAGGAGAAAAAATACTTTCCTCATATGTTTGTGGGTAGATTTAAAAGAAGATATTGTATAAAACTTGCTTAGTACTTTGCTATGTAAAATATGTCCTGTGAAAATGGGAATATTCGGAGGTGAAAATTGGTGGAATTCCATTTTTAAGTAAAATATTGCAATAATCAAAAATTTGTCCTTAGTCCTGGGCTGATAACCCCTTGATACAGCCCTCTATTTTCAGCATTCTCCTTCCCACCCCCACCACCTTTGAATTAATAGTCCTCTTAATGACCTCCCCACCCATCACTGAGCCCACAGTGATGTTCCTTCCCTTTCATTCAGTTAATTTTTAAAAGATTTCTGAGAATTGGTACAAGGTTTAATTGTATATATAATGTCACAATCCTTTTTTGTATATCCTTTCAAATGATTCATTTATTATAATATATTAGAAAATCTATTGGTTTATTTTTCATTTTGCTTTATTCACCTTAATGGACACTTTTGATGCTGTTTCAACAGATAAACAAATAATTTCTGTATTTACAAATGTCAAAACTCTTTATATCACTTCTACTTATAAGAGAGCAGAAATCTGGAGACATAGCAGAAGTGACAGGACTTCTGTCCTCTCTGGGATTCTGAATTGCTCATGGCTGTTTATCTTGTAGTGTGACATGAGCCCTGTTCCTGTGCACAGAGGTCACATTCCTAGATATTTGCACATGAGAGCCCTCGTTGTGGCCTTACCAGCATCTGTCTCCTTAGCTGCAGGCTTAGTGTCAAGAGGACTTTCTCAGAGTTCACTAAGGAGTGACTGAATTAGTGCAATGTCTTATGACCTCTTTACTACTTTCAATTTCAACATGTCAAATTTGCATAAAATCAGAAATGGAATTAAATAGAAATGATTGATGTGCCATTTAGCCAACGGGCCAAATATTTTTTGAAGCACAACTGTGTATAATACAGCTATGTGTTAATAATTAGAGATTCAGAAGAGAAGGAAATAGTTCTCATCCTTGAGCTGCCTAAGGTCCAGGTTTCCCTGACTACAGAGCTAGGCAATTTCTTGGAGAGATGGTAAGCTTTTCTAGTAAAATCAAGAATACTTGAAGAGTGTTCATGGCAGACCTTGCCATGCCATTGTCTGTTTCAGATGTTATATCACATAATCCTCTTAATGGTTTCATTGTGCTTTAGAGCAGAAGTTCTTGATTTGGATGCCCTGGTCACTAAGTAGAGCAGGTGGGTTTCGGGATCCTAAGATTTCTCCTGAGAATGTGCCTAGGAAATGTTTGTACCTGTCTGTTGAACAGGGCCTGATAAATCCTTATCGGGGTCCTTTTTTCAGAATTGCTGCTCTCTACAGGCTTTCCATTTCAATGCTAGAAATGAAAAACTTCTAGAATGATGCTGACACTTTCTGAAACAGCTTTTATCAGAGAAATTTGGGCAGTAAGAACAAAGTCAGTGAAATTTCCTTTGGGGTGGCTTAGATCTTAGACTTTCTAGACTTAGCTTTTAAAAATATTGTCAGTCAAATATTAAACATTAATAATTCTTTTCAGCTTTACCATTTTGAACCTACTCAGAAGGGGAAACTTGGGAAAATCAGCATGGAACATTGGCAAGAGGAGTAAAGAAGCAAAAATGGGCTGAYATTCCTTGTAGACATTGTATAAAAAATAAGAGGAGACATCCTAAATGAAGAATCATTGGTTTCCATTTGGTAGAATTTCAAATTGGACGGCCCTCTATGAATCATAGCATCAACAGAAACTAATATTTGTAGAAAAGCTGTGCATCACTTTACTAACACAGCAAACAAACAAACAAACAAACAAATAAATAAAAATACCCAACAGATACATCTACAGTCTAGAGCAGACCCTTCACTGAATGGTAGAGACAGGACAGGTGCTCACCAAGCCCATCTGCTCTTTCTGGGCACAAGGAAAGGTGAATTTTGCAGACACTTTTATGGTTAGGTCAAGATTTTCATTCTGTCCAATGGGATTTACCTGTAAAGGAACWCCTGTGCGGGGAGACTTGTGGAGGAAATGCACAAAGGACAAACACAGACACACAGGGAAGGTGCAGACAGACAGAAGATGGCACACAAAAGAGGTGCCTACTGCTGTCATCTTTAATAACCCAAATAATTACATATTACCCACCACCAATGACTACACTTTAGCCAGTAATCCTTTTAATCTTGAGTCTAGCTAACTGAGATAAGGTCCAGGTTAATGCAAACGCAGAGCCTCTCTCCTTCAAAAGATGTCACTATGTAAAGCAGGCAGTGCATCCACATAGTTATCTTAATGTCTTAGCAGGGAATTGCTGGGCATTCCAATTGTGGGAATCAGGAGTTACCCACTGGGAGTTTGCTCATGCAAATTGTCTGTTCCCTGTCTGTTTCCTCTATCAGAATACCTACAGTATACCCAAAACCCCAACAATCAAACAGGCATTGCAACTGTTCAAAATCAAAACAAACGTAATATGATCCATATATGCAGAAAATTAAAGTAGTGTTTGAAAAATATAACTTCAATGAAAATATAATAAAGTTTGTTTTGCAGGTAAATGTAAGGGAAAAATAAATCTGTCAAAAGAGGCTATTAGTCTGGGGATATAGCCCAGCTGATGGAGTGCTTGTCTCTCATGCACAAAGCCTTCAGTTCAATCCCCAGAACCACCACCACCAAAAAAAAAAAAAAAAAAAAAAAAAAGCTATCTCCTGTCTAATCAATACTTCTGTGAATATAAAACTCCTGTAATATGATTAATTCTATTCAAAAAAGGAGAGGGCTTTGTAATGTCACTAGATGAAAACTGAATTTCATGTGGGTTGGATATGAAGGGAAAATTGGAGGAGGTTTTTATCATTATCCTCTATTCTTTGGTGTTCTTTGTTTTGTTTACACTTTTTTTTAAAGTAAGTGTATTTTTAATAGCAGCAGGAATTAAATTATATATTATTTATGCAGTATAAATAAAATGCATAAAATTGGCATATCAGTATTTATATAGATTAAATTTAATTAGTATTTTTAATAAAAATAATATTTTTAATAATTTTGTATTATCTAAAAAATAATCTCGTACCCCTAAATTGACAGCTATAGAGTACATTCCAAATTCAACTCAGCAGGGAAAATGTTCTGTGTAAAAGCAATACAGCAGGTTCAATGTATTCATCATGGGTAGWCAAGTAGCACATATGTACTGTAATTATGGGGCTGATTTTGGTGTAAAATTTATAAGTATCTGTGCGTGTAAGTGTCCCTGTCTGGCCCTATACCATAGCCCTAAGAAGGAAGAGTCAGTGTCTGTTTTAGTTCTCCAGTGTATATATCTTTGCTCTGGCAGAGGCTTCAGTACAGCACGTAGTAAAGAAATACTTTATATAAAAAAATTTAGTTAGGTAACTAATTAATCAGTATGCAGATACATAATTATCTCCAAAGTACTTTTTAATTAGGAAGGCAAAGCACAGAACAGAATGTACAATATCGTCCCATAGGCCCATATGTGCATACTACAGATGTATTCAAAAGTATCACTGCAAATAGATACAAGTACCCTACTAGGAAATGAAGAAAGAGTTAATGATAATTACTGTCAGAAAGGAAAGAGGAGGTGTGGGGTGGGAGGATYTGTTGGGTCTCAGTGTACTCCCTTGAATATTTTATTGGATACTAGTGATTGGCCACCACTAAGCATAAAGAAAATTATTCCACTGACTCCTAAACAAATTTAGAAAAATTAATGAAGTTAAAGTGAAAGGCAATTGTAAAAAAGATGCAATCAGTTCAAGCCCCTGCACCCCCCAAGAAAAAAAAATGTTAAGAAAGAGGAGAAGAAAGAACCTTTCCTATCCACCCATAAAATGGGAAATTTTCTGGACTTTTCATGTACTGTGGACTCTCCTCAGTTCCCAGGTGTTCCTGGGTCTGCTGGGGCACATAGAGGAGATGGAATTGCAGCTCCATAATTCATGTTTTCTTCCTTCTTTCCTTTCTTTCTTTCATTTTTCTTTTCTTTCTTTCTTTCTTTCTTTTTTTTTTTTTTTTTTGTACTAGGGATTGAACCCAGAGGTGCTTTACCATTGAATCACATCCCCAGCCTCCTCCCCTTTTTCAAAAAGATTTTTTTTTTTTAGTTGTAGGTGGACATAATACCTTTATTTTGTCTATTTGTATGTGGTGCTGAAGATCGAACATGTGCAAAGTGAGCATTCTACAGCTGAGCCACAAACCCAGCTCCCCAGCCATGTTTTATATTTTACATACAGACAGGGTTGTGCTAAATTGCTTAGGCCCTTGATAAGTTGCTGAGACTGGCTTTGAACTAGTGATCTTCCTGCCTTAGAATCCTGAGTCCCTGGGATTACTGACATACACCACCAAGCCCAGCTCAGATTCACCTTTTCATACATCTGCATACACAGATATACCATTGGTTTTGTTTCTTGTGAAGAACTCAGGCAAATACAACCACCGAGTTTCTTATTTTTTAATAGAACATTTAAGTCCAAGAATTTTTCTTGCATAGAGAAGCTTTATTTTAAACATTTCTACTTTTTAAAATGTTCCATTTCATTGACGTTGTATACATGCATGAATTATCAAAATATAACTCATAAAGATGTACAAATATGATATCTCAAAAAATTCAAAATAAATTTTAAAAGGAATTTTTAGTGTATTAAAACCCATATAGCCAAAAGACAAATCTTGGAACTTATGTGAAAATTAAGAA